GTGCACTGATAGCAAGATGCCAAATTATACTTAGGCTAGGGTTGTCATTGTCCCGGTTTTTCCATAGGATAACGCAAAAAGAGTTTTAATCATTAAGCGTTTCGCTTTCCCACGTAAAAACCGGGACAACGTTAGCTATATATTAAAACCTATTGCAGCCTCAGAACCAAGAGGTTCGATGCCTGCATTGATGTTAAAGTAAAAGAAAGTATTTTTGCGACCGTGTCGAAAAACATCATCACTTTTGAATTAATAATGATAACTATTTGAAATTTTCAGGCCTTTTAGTGTACTGCTAGTGCCTGAGTTTTTTTTAAAGAAGTTTGTTACTTGTAAGTCGTGGTTAGGGAACTAAGATCAGAGGACTAGTAGCAGATTTTTTGAAAATAAAGTTGTTTTGAAGCATAACTTTTTGCAGAAACAAGATTTTTTAATAAAAAAAACTCAGGCACTAGATACAGGTAGCACACACATGGTATAGTGCCCCTAAAAAGACAACAAATTTAAATATGCTTTAAAAAATTTGGTATAGTTTTTTTTTTTTAATTTTTTAATTTTTATTTTGTCTAGAGCAATATGATTTCTTTCTATTGGTTGAAAAAATTATTCAATTTTATTTTTACTATTTTTATTTGTACTTGAAAACTGTATATTTTTGGCTAGGTGCCCTTAAAAAGACAACTCTATTTTTGTTAATATCATCTTAACAACTAACTCAATGATGGAAATACTTTGTAAGGTATTATCTGCCTGACATATGCATCTTATAATATAAAGAAATTTATAATTACTTTATTATTTTTTCATAATAATTAGGAAAATTATGTTTTTTGAGTCAAATACTTCATTTCTTAATAAGCATGAAGAACATCATTTTCTTAAGTAATTTCAGTATTTTTATATTTTTTTCTTCTTTTTATGTCCTAAAGTTTACTTTGATTTAGTAACAATTTTTATAATAGTATAAATTTCTATTAACAGCTACTTTGTTTAGTGCAACTTGAAAAAAAAAAAAGACTTTAAAATCAAATGGTTTGTTTGCTGCTTTTTTAGATTACAGTTTAATTTTACATAATATTTTAAAATGTTTATTATTATAGAATAAAATAAAAATGAAACCAAAATTTCATAACATCCAATTCTGTAATAAAAAAGCCAAGAAATAAATCTGAAGCAGCTGTAAAGCAGTTTAAATGAGATGAAAGAAATAAATAGATAAGCCAAGCTGAAGAATGGTGCAAAATTAATGAAAAGCGAGGTTATGCTGCAATATCAACAGGGCATTATCCATTAATAAAAAACAAAATCGTGTTTGATAAGCGGTTAGATAATTTAGTTCATACAGAAAATGAGAAAAATCATCTAATGATTCTAACAGCTGAAGAAGAAGATACTATAGTTGAGTATGTACGCTGTAAAAATCGTGCTTATCAAGCTATAAATAGAAAAAAACTAACCTCATTTTAGATGTGTTAAAACAAACCTCATTTTGGATGTGTTAAAAATTCGAGATCATGCTAACAAAAAGATGAAAGGAGGAAGAAAGTTCATTCTTTGACTGTAAATGGAAGGAAAGCTCTTTTGAAAAAAAGGTAAAAATTATCTAATTTGTAAGAAATCCTTCTTGTATTGACACAATTCTCTACTACTGTATTGATTTTTTTTACATTTTTTCTATCTAGCCTAAGTAAGTCGTTTTGGAGACGATGGGACGCCAAACATGTCAATGTTTCTTTAAAAAGACAAGGAATCATCACAATGAATAGAGCAATGAATTGCGCTTGTGAAATGGCCTGCTCTCATTTAGGTAAAAAACTTTGAAATTAACAAAAATAAATAGCATATGTTATAAAAATTATAGCATACGTATCTGGCACTTAAAGTCAAAATTAACAAACTCATCCAAATAACTGAGAAATGCTAAAACTCTGAAATCTGTTACAGTTTGATTTTTAAAAAGAAATTTTAAAGATTTTACTTTTTAGATGATCTTGCTAAAGAGTTGGTGGAATGTAGCATCATGATTAAAGAAAATCAAGAAGCATCTGGATATTGGACCGGCAAATTAACTTGTCTCGGATCTTTAATCACGATGAAACTCCACAATTTGTTAATTTTGGTGTTAATGGTTCAGTAAGCGGTTTAGTATATGGTGGCCGTGGTGAAAGATGTCTAAAAATGATTCGGCAAATTCGTGAATGTGTTACAATAAATCCGATGGTGTCGTTATCAGGTAAACTGTACCAAAACACATTTTAAACTTTAAACTTTACTTCTAACTAATTAATACTTATTTATTATATTTTGTATTGTATATAACTCACTGATTTACTATAAACGCTTATTAGTAAAAGTGGATTTTACAAAAGTTAACAAATTTGAAAATTTAAGACAACACGTGTATTTTATTACCAAAAACTTCACATTTTCTAAGTTTATTTTATTATTTAGATGAAAAATGCATCTGCCATGTAACACTTGATTCTTAAGGAATTATTAGTCAAATGGCTCCGCCGAGTGCTGTTCAAAATATTCCTAACTTATTAGTTTCAACAACCGAGAATGGATCACAAGATCACAAACCCTTACTTGCATTTTATAAACTATTTGTTAAAAGAAATACTTCGCCCTGTCGTTGTACTAAGCGATGGTCACAGTTCTCGCTTTCATTATACCTTACTTCAATTTCTTAAAGAGAAGGAAATACATTTATTTATTTCACCTCCAGACACTACTGGGGTAACACAACTACTTGATCAAATTAACAAGGTATTTCATAAACACTATGCAAATGCAAAAGATAATCTGTTCAACCAACGTCAAACAATTAATAGAGAAGCCTTTATGTTGTCTCTTGCAAGTATGTGGGACAAGTGGGCCACGCCAGAATCGATAAAAAAAGCTTGAAAGAAGGTTAGTATTACTAATGAAAGTTTAAATGTTGCATTTATGCAAAATGATAAATTTCAACAAGCTTCTATGCTAGCAGAGGAAGTCAAAAAAAAAAACAGTTCTATGATATAAACACCTCAACTACAGACAACATTATATTTATTAGCTACTTCACTTAACGTTACTGATATTTCTACAGTTCTAAATAGCAAATTAAGTTCTCCTATATCAATACAACGAAAAGACAGCCAAATGTATTGGAGAGAAAAAGCTTCAAACTGGAAAGACTTACATGAAAAAAGCATAAATCTTAATGACATACCAGGTCTTTTGACAATCCAAAAAGTAAAGTCAACTCAAAGTAATAGTATGCATAGAGAAACTACAGGAGTAACTCAAGTCCATGGCTCAATAGGGTCAAGATGTGCTAAAACTTGTAGAATCTATTAACTATTCAAAGGAAAAAAAAGTGCAAGACAAAGACAGAGTAAGAAAAAAGAGTGAACAAACTGAGTTGTTCTATAGATGCAAGAAAAGATGCATTTCAGACAATGGCATTTGTGAAGCTGCAAAGCTAAAACAATGTCCTATGTGTCGAATTGTTATGAAATCAGTATGTAGTAAATATAAGTGCATCGTGGTTGGTAAAAAACCAATTATGATTTTACCTAAATGTTTATCGAAAAAGAGAACCGCTGCAAATTTATTTAGAAAGTCTGATAAAGAAGTCAGTATTGAAGATTTGGAATCCAATAGATTCCATTATTGAGAATCTTTTTTATTATTCATTAATAATTAATAAGTTATTTTTGTTTTTTGATGTTTTTCTCCTTCAGAAGTATAAAAAATTCGATAAATAAATTAATAATATATGGTGCCCTTAAAAAGACAAAAATATTAGCATTTTAGAGGTGCTTTTAAGGCAGCCAAAACTATATGTTCTTATCAAGCAAGTGAAAAACAATTACTACTTTTATAAGGACCCTATTAATAGCTTCTTTTAAGACTCTTGTCTACGGACTTAAATTCAATATTTTTCATTTTATGTTAAATACTAGTGATTTTATGAACTCAAATTTTCTATAAAACAATCTTTTGGAGCAAAATTTGCACAATAAACTGACTTTTTTCTGAAATTTATATGGCCTGATTATATTTTTGAATAAGCACAATTTTTAAAAATGCTTTTTAAGAATAGTTATAGGCAATTTAATTTTTTTGTATTTAAAAGGCCACTATACCTGTACCTAGTTTTGAGAAAAATAATGGTTAATGAATAAAAAATAACTTTTTCTGATTACATAGGAACCACCTTAACTTTTAGAAGTTAATAAAGGTTAGTTAGGAAACGTTCATATGGTAATATGAAATTAAAAAAATCATAAGTCCCTAAAATTTTAAGACTTCGGGTAAAAACTTTTTGACTCCGACTTCTCGACGGGACTCTTTGACTCCGACTTCTCGTCGCTGATTTTTATAGTTTGAGCCAATTTACCATACTCCGTTTTATTTATTGAACCCTGTAGTAATCACTTCTAAATTTAGTTAAAAGTATAGTACTTTTTAAAAATTAAATTGAAGTAAAAGTGTAAATTTGTAGGTTAAAACCAAAAAGTCCTTCTTGAAATTGTTGCTTAGTCTGTACTAATAATTGATATTGATAGACATATCTTACGAATATATTCTTGGTTACATAAACACAGTTTAACATTTTAAAATAGTTAAACTTATATTAAAAAAACAAGATTTCAATAACTTTTTTTCAATTAAAAAAATAATCAAAAAAACTATTTAATGGGAGTTAATAACTTCACTGATAATCAATTATCCGATTTAACTAATAGATACTATTAAGTATCTTCTAAACTGACAATACTACAATAAAATACTTGAAAATCTTCTAAATAATTATTCTTTGTACAATATAAACATGGTTGTTTGGAACAAGAATACTGTCAATTAAAAAGAATTCACAAGCGCGTTTTCTAATTTCAAGTTGAAAAAAAACGTAAAAAAAAAAATAAAGCATTGAGATTAGAAAATAATCGCTTAACTCTTATATGTATAAAAACCTCTTAAGATCTTTTTGCAAGAAAAGCATACGAACATCAAGTAGTCATATAATCTAATTAGAGAATTAGGAACCTGAAGAAGTAACATTTTCTGAGTCAAAGTGCGTTAATAACAGAGATTCATTTGAATTTGTGCTTTGACAAACACCATCTTGCAAAGAATTACTTGAAGCCCGGCGAATTATATTACTGCTACTACTATCTGCTGAAAACTCGTCACGAAACTCGATATTGACCTCCCCACGTAGCTCTAAACGCTCGTGAGACCCTGATACGCGTTCCATAAAAGGATTCATTCTGGACTCAATATTACTTTCTAGTCTTTCATAGGCCTGAGAACTGCTATCAGGGGTTTGCGCAGTTGTTATATTAGATGATTCACTAACTTCCCCTTCTTGCGATATATACTCTATATTGTTACTAGAGTCAACATAGCTGACTAACGGCATACTTTCAGAGTTCAAACTTTGGTCTGGTATGTGTTCAGAATTAATATTTTTATTAGATATATATTGAGTACTCTGAGTGACACAATCATCAGTTGTTTCACTTTGAGTCACAAATGACTGTGGTGAACCGCTTTGAGTAATAAATTGGTGCTGAGGAGCACTTTGAGTCACTACCTCCAAAGTAGAATCGCTCTGTGTAATGAAATGTTCACTTTGCGAAGGCACCTCATCAGATTGAGATATACTTTGATCAAGTTCTTGTATACAAATTTGAATACTTTGCGAAGGCTGAGTTTCGTCATCATTATCTTCCAGCTGAGCGTTAGTTATAGTGGGTACTTGTATTAAACTTTCTGCAAGAGCAGGATCAGACATAATAGTCTCAGAACCATCAGGCATTTTGACAATAATTTGAGGTTGTCCATTTTCATCCGAACTGAGAAGCAATATGGGTTCTCCACTATTCGAAGATTCATCTTCAATATCAACGATCATACCCGAGCTATCAGCTGCCCCTTCATCAATAAATCTTGGTTGGCTAATATTTTGTGATATCCCGTACTCTACATGAGTTGTGCTCTCTACTTCCATAGAGCCCTGACCTTCATCTCCTTCGTCTATTATTAACTCGTTTCCATCAGCATGTTGTATTATTAAATTACTTTCATCAACATCATCAATCGAACTACTGACTTCAGATGCTGAAACCTTTGCTCGAGAACATTTTTTACTATAACGTTGAGTTGAGTCTGCTTTAATGGAAATGTTAGATGATGAAATCGGTAGGATGCTTTGACTCATAGGTGGCATACATATAGTAAGATTAGAACTTCGAACTGCTGAAGCAGCTGTTTGAATAATACAACTTGATCCATTTCTTACATCTGGTCGAATAGAGCTAAGTATATTATTAACTACTTCATCACCTTTGATAATACTCGACTGTTGCTCACCGTGCAAGTAACTTTCTACAGCTGCAAGCGTTGAAGTTGCCGATATAGAGTCTTTAACTGATTGAGATGACACTTGACTTACTACTAAACACTCTTCATCGTGCACTAAAGCAGATAAACGCGCAAGTTGCTCTTGTGAAAATGTTAAATTAGTATTATCTGTTCCATTTGAAACAGGCGAGGAAAGTGAAATAACACCTGTAGTAGATTCACATCCATCGAACATACTAACTGGACCAATAACAATGAATTTATTTGTAGAAGCGGCATTATTTATTGCAGCAAGAACGTCAGGATTTTGAAGTATATTGGATAACCCTGCAGCTGTACTGGAATCAAGTGTTATTTCCTGACCATCTCCATCTGTAATGTTGTTTGTACTAGGATCAATAATGATCTTGGATTGGTTAGAAGTTGCACCGCCTAACTGTAATGTTGTATAAGAATTTCCGGCACTATCAGTTTCACTAGATGAACGAATAAGAACTTCAACAACTTGATCCATATTACCGCCATTTTCTGATATATTTACAATTCCATCAACTTGTACATCAGTGGCATCGCCTTTTCGAGCAACCGAAGAAAGTAGCCCTAATCCATGTTGAAGATTAGTTTCAGCTGGTTCTTGATCAGCTGTATGAATTTCAATACTTTGCATGTCACCAAGAACATAATGTCCACCTCCTATTGATTGTGCAGAAAGTTGCTTGGCTTGTTCAAAAGCTCGATAATTTCCTTTTGAAGTTTGTTTAAAGGTTATTTCATTAGATATAATGCTAGCGGGATCTGTATCGTACTCATCGATATCACCTGGAAAATGTGCTCTAAAACCTTTCTCTGATTTAGGCTTACGATGTGTAGTAAGATGGGATGTCATATTCTGTTTTTGTGTGAACCTACGACCACACGTTTCACAAATATATGGTTTTTCTCCTGTATAGGATGTAACATAATTGTTGAAGATGGAACATAATTATCTTTAAAATTAATAAACAATGATTTAAAGAAAAAGAAAAAAAAAAACCTGTGTGAGTGCGGAGATGCGTTTTTAAATTCCATAGCAAAGAAAAACTTCTTCCACATTCTGCACAAGAATAAGGCTTCTCACCAGAATGTGTGCGTACATGATATGTTAATTTGTTACGTTGTGAAAAAGATTTATCACAATGAGGACAATGAAAGTTCTTTACTTTAAAATGGACTGTTTTTAAATGCTTACGAGCTGCAGCTTCATCGATAAACATTTTATCGCAAAGCGTGCAAGGAACCTCTCGTATTTTTAAATGAAACCGTTTGTGATGTCGTTCTAAAGTTTGCAAATTTGATAAAATCTTGCCACATTCTCGGCATTGTACATAGCGCTCTGGACAAGTCAACATATGTTCATGAACATCTTCTTTACGAAATTTGCCTATATCAAACTATAAAGTTATATTGAAAATTTAAAATATAAAACATAAACGCATTTTAGTGTTTCTTACCTTTACAATGGGTGCAAGTAGCTAAATCTGGGGATTGTTGATCTGGTATACCAAAAAATAAATTTTCATCTATATCTTCTTCTTCATCATTATCATCGTCATCTTCATCATTTTCTTGCTGAAGTTCTGCTTGCATCTGCTCTGCTGGTACCTAAAATTAGGCCATATTTTGTTTTCTTAAATAAAAATTTTAAACATAAAATTTAATATTTGTACTTGATATATTAAATAAAATGATTATATTTAATTATTAAAAAAAACTAAATAATTGCATTAAATTTTGGAAATCAATTTTTTTGTTAATTTATAATTTTATAAACTGTTAAAAAAGTTTTAAGAAGAATTAATATACGTGGCTATACTAATTGAAGAAATCTTTGGGAAATGAACTCATAGCATAATCTCTGTAATTGTACTACTGCAATAGTTTTCTTAAAAAGCAATTGTGTTATGAGATATATATTGCTATGATTTATTTTTATTTTATTTCAATTTCCAACATGTAAAACTTCACAAAGAGATACAATTTTGAAACAAGTGATTGTTGACATTACTTTTATGTACACAAAAATAAACAAAATTTAAATTTCACAAAACTTTTGACTCCCCTAACCTTCCAAAAATATTCATCATGACTTAAAATCGGTATGACCGACCATTCCCATCATCTTTACTAAAAACAAAACATAATCTAAATTCATGTAGATCAAGCTACAAAAATAATTCTTATGGTATTTTTGAAATAAAAATTTAAAATTTTTGTGACTGGACCATAATTTTCATTTTTGTTGTTTTGGAGAAAAGTATTATCTTATATATATATATATATATATATATATATATATATATATATATATATATATATATATATATATATATATATATATATATATATATATATATATATATATATGACACACACACACTTGTATACTATATATTATTTTTATTATTAAATCTAAAGATTTATACTATAATTGTTTTTGAAAAATTAATATCCATGTTTTTTTTTTTAAATCTATATACTGAGAAAAGTACTGTGAGAAAATGTTCAAGAAAAGATGTTTTTTTTCTGACAACCATGATAATAGGCAAGCTTTTAATTTCAAACAAATTTAGTGTTTGAAAACAAACAATAGAAAATGTTTAAAGCTTTTGTCTTCTAGTTATTACATTTATATTTTAATTTAAACAATGGTTTTAAACAATTGCTTAAATTGAAAGATAAGTTTTATTTTACTTCTACCTGATAAGTTAAAAGCTGGTAGCTAGAAGTAAAATAAAAATAATTTTATGATTATATACGGATAAAAATTACGGAGTTAGAATTACATAATTGAAGCACATATCAGAGATATAGGAGAAATAAAGGAGAAGATTCAGCTAGAAATCGGATTAAAGATTCAAAATTTGGAAGGTTTAATTAAAGAATGGTAAAGCAGGAAAACACCACTCTACTTCTGAACTGGGTGGTAGCTATCTGATCAATTACATGTTATTTAAAATTAATTAAAATAATTACTTTTTGTGGATATTTATAAAATATGAATATAATTTTAAAAATAATATTAGTTTATTTAAAACTCAAATTAAAGAAATTTTAAATATATAAATACTTTTGAAGAGATTTTTTAAACTTATATATAGACACAGACAATTAAAGAGTCATAAATTCATTTTTACAAAAAAATAAATTTATAAAAAAATATTCTTAAAATGATTCAATAAACTTTAAGAATCCTACCTCTATTTCATCATGTTCTGTGTCATCAACATCTTGATGATGTTGAATATAATGATGTTCTTCATTAATCAACATTTCAGAACTAGGTGGAGCTGGGTCCATCATATCATCAAAATCATCTTCATCATTTTCTTCTGTGTCTTCATCATCCAAATTATCATCTTCATTTTTCACAGCAATCATAGGCTGTTCATAATCATCATCTGTTAACTTAAAAAGGGTTTAATTATTTGAAAAATAGCAGTACATCATTAAATATTTCTCTAAAATTAAACAAAAGTAACATTTTAAGTGTTGTTAAGAGATAAAAATTTAAAAAGTATAAAAAATAAACCGTTTATAACTTGACCAATATTTCAAAATAGCAATATGTTTTATATATAGTACACAAAGGGGAAAAAAGGGGAAAAAAAGATCACTAACAAAAATTGAACAAAAAAAAACAACAAATATTTTAAAATGATTCACAAAACACAAATAAATAAAAAAGATTTTATATTATAAGAATAGAAATTTTAACTAAATTACCTCATCATCATTAATATTATTTGAAGAATCATCAATTTCAGACTTGGGAGCTTTTTTCTTACTCTAATGTAAATAATAAAAGTCTGAACAAAATCATAACAGAACTTAAAAAAGCAAATCAATATCTAATCAATAATTAATGCTAGCAATATAAACTAGTAAATCCACAATGATAGAATATATATATGCTCACACACATATTTATATATATATATATATATATATATATATATATATATATATATATATATATATATATATATATATATATATATATATATACATATATATATTTATATATATATATACACATACATACATACATACATATATATATATATATATATATATATATATATATATATATATATATATATATATATATATATATATATATATATATATAAATATGTATGTATGTATATATAAAGAACTAAAGAACTTTCCAACAATCCTCACAGTGATCTTAAGCAGGCTTTCCTAAAATCTTATTAGAAAAGACTTTCATCAAAGACACCTTTTGTAGATAAAAACAAGAAGCTTAACTTAAAGCCAGCAAAAGACAAAACTTTGAAGCAAATTACATTCACAAAATCTTATCAATAGGTATTTTAAGACGTAATAATATTAAAACAAGTTTGTAACACTAGTCTCACTGAGACGCAATTATTACATAATCATTAAGAATAAATTACATATGTTTTCGCCACATAAAATCAGATATATCATTTACCTTGTAAAAACCATATTTAGAGACCGTGCGGACATCTGCAGATTATAAACCACATTTATATAGATAACATAAATATTGAACAATGTATTTCAATACTCAAATTACTGGACCACCTTGGACTGAAAAAGTATTCGACTATGTAAGTGAAATTTTAACTGAAAAAATTACTTAAAATATGCCATCATTAAAAATCATTTTATTTGACATAACTTACTTGCAAATTAGTGTTGCAATAGCTCATTTGAAAGATAATACTTGATTTTATTAAGTTACGCAATAAAAAAAGAGGTTTTAAAATTAACAAATATTTTAAGCTTATTAGTAACACAAGAAACACTAAATAAAAAATATTTATTTTATATAAAACAAAAGCTTTTTATCCAACAGCTTAGAAGGATATGGCATATTTATTATACAAAAATATATACATTTTATAAAAGCTGAATGTTTAAGTTATAAAAATGGTATATAATATTATAATCTTTGAGAAAGTATTTTTTTATGTTTGTCTACTACCTAGCCCACTGTGTAATTGTAAAACCAAATGAGAAAATTGAAAAAGTGAATGACTCAGATGATTAATAAAAGGCATAAGAACACTGGCCTCCCACTGTGCTCTTAAAAAGTTTTTACAAAATATTGGTAGCGGGTAATTCAATGTAAAATGACCCTGAAATTTTTTAAAATGTAACTTAGATTTTGCTGATTTTTATATAGTTGATAGTACTTAGTAAAATAAGAACTTCTTGGAAATTTTAGCCTCTGGCTCCAAGAAGATCATGAAATATGACCATTTAACTTTTAACAGATGTTGACCAGGCCCCTCTTGTCCCCTCAGATTTGCAACATTTATTACATAACACAACTTTTAAAATATTTGACATTTTTACTTAAAAAATTTCTACCCGGCTGTTCAGGGATGGCAAATGAAATGATCAGAAATGTAACATTACTTTGAAGTACCTGCATTTATCAATTTAAATAAATTTAGACAAATTGTTATATACCTGATTTTGATGCTCAAGAAACTCATGTGGCCTTGATGATATCCACAAAAAAAAAAAAAAAAAAAAAAAAAAAAAAAAAAAATTACATATTCTATATTCATTGATCTTTCAAAAAATATAAAGATTTTGAACTGCAAGTATATGGATTTCCATATATGGTTAATGGGTCATGGCCCTTACTTTTTATTTTACCAATTTGTGCAACTGATTTTTCAATGTGCATGTTAAAGTTATTTTCAGGGCCCCAGACACCATGGGAGTTCATCAGAACTACAAAAACGCTGAAACTTTCAGCATTTTTGTAGTTCTGATGAACGTGTGTTAAAATTGTTTCCAGGGCAGATGACCATGGAGTCCATAAACAGGCATGAACAGGAATGGCCTGCGATTTCACAATTGTAACTGACCATGCTTATATATTTTTTTTCTCTACAATTTGACCACTGCGGTTTTGATGTTTTAACAATTTAAATGCTATTAAAAAAATTGTCACAATATGAAAAACTTTTAATTGTTGATTTTTTTTTATGTAGGCATGTATTTTTTATAAATTTAAAGGTTTGAAACTATTTTTTTATATCTTTCTAAAAATCTTTTAAAAGATAATTTTTTAAGTTACTTTAAATTATGAATAAGTTAAACTAAATCTTCTGTTGCAATGGAATGATTTAATTGCTTTATATATTTTTGTATCTATTTTTACAAAGAATTGTTTAAACCTTTTTTTTTAAAACTTAACTAACTAATCAGAACATAAAATGATTAAAAATTACTATTTGAAATAGACGAAGGCATTTTTTTTTAACAATTTTTTATTTTTTTTTACAAAAAATATTTTTTGCTTTGAGTTTGAATTTTTTTTGTGTTTTATTTTAGTGCTTATATATTTTCTTTTTCGTAAGGAATTGCTTTCTTTTTTCATTAACATTATTTTTTTTTAATTTTCTTCCTAGTTTAAGTTTATCAAGCGTTTCTTTTTTAAATGCATTTTTAAAATGTTTAAAAATCATCTAAACATCTAAACAGTCATGGTCAAGTTGTCAAAAAATAAAATCATTTGCATGGTCAGCAATAGGGCTCGATCGCACAGCATATCTATCCAAGCAAGACCATGCCCCACTTTTTTTCTCAATAAATTTTTAATTTTTTTTTTTTTTTGCATTTTCAATATAGTAAAGATAACTTTGAAAATATTGTCTTCAGAAAAAATTGTTGGTTTATATTTGCTCCTTTTGGTTTTTGATCATTCTGTATTCAATGATATTTCTTAAAATATTTTTTTGATTTGCAAATTTTTCTAATAATGAGTTAAACAAATTAAAATGAGATAAACAAGCCTTTCTTAAAATGATTTTTGATTTGTAAGTATATGTATTATATATGTATATGTATATAATATATAAGTATATGTATATAAAAACAGTCATTCATCTAAATAATGATTTTAACAAAATTTTACTTTGTATAACTTAAAACTTTTTAAATTGAAAAGAAAACAGACAGAACAACATTGATCTGTCAGACAACAACAATTGAAGAATACAAATTGATGTTATCAGAAGCAATAAACAAGTTAACAGCTCATTCCTACATTGCAAAATGTCAAGCAAGATAACTAAAGCAACAAAAGGAAAAGTTGGCAAAAGACTGCTGTTTTGTCTTAGCTGATTTTGATTGGTGCCAAAATCAATGCACGTTTCACCCCATTGCCCTCTATTTATTAAACAAAAATGACAAGCCTAAAGAAAAATCTTTTTGGTTGATGTTAGAAGATAATGAGCATGACATTGGTTTTGTGTATGAAGTTCAGACAAAAAAAGTTAATTATTTAAAAGAAAATCATCCTAACATTTCAAATATTCTTTATTTTTCATATGGTTGTGCTGCACAGTATAAAAACCACAAAAACCTTGAGAATATCTGTCTCCATAAAGATAATTTTGACATTGATGCAGAGTTGACATTTTTTGCTACAAGTCGCAATAAGTCACCATGTGATGGCATTGGTGGCACAGTAAAATAATTAACAGCAAAAGCAAATCTACAAAAGCCCATAAATAACCGGAAATTGAATTGTAATAAAATATTTGACTACTGTACAAATAATATAAAAGAGATTATTTTTTTCAAGATTGAAAATGAAAGACTGACAGAATTGCGCACCACTTTGAAAAAACGTTTTCACCTAAATGGAACAATTCCCAGAACTAGGAGCTTTCTTCGATTTAACTCAGAATCTATAGATACTTTTAGCTTTAAACGAACAAGTGAAGATTTTAATATAAAAGGCATGTTTTCTTTTTCTGGTATTCAAAGTATTCAATCTAATCAGCAAATTAAGATCAATACATTGAAATTTGGTGAATTTATTATGTGTAAATATGATACATTTGATTGGATTAGGTACGATATATGAAATTGAGAATATTCAGCAAAATGTTATGGTAACATTTATGCACCAGATTGGTCCTTTTAACAGGGTTTAGTGACTATCTAGAGCAGATGAGTGTTGGATTCCAATTACCAACATAATTTGCACCACAGATGCACCTGTAACAACAACTGGATATATGTATAATTTGACTGTTGATGCATCTAAGCAAAACTAAACACAATCTTGACACTTTATATTTTTGTATTTTATTTCGTAAATAATTAAATAAAACGGAACAAAAAAAAAATTTGAAAACAATATTTAAAAAAAAAAAATTTCAATTTTTTGAGAAAATAAGTGGGACGTGGCCCCAGTTCTTCAATGTCTTGGGGCCTTAAAAACAATTTTAACATGCACATTCATTGGCACTACAGGAATGCCAAAATTTTCAGAGCTAGTCTGGAAGGTAGTGAAAAATCAATTGCAATATGCCACAACAAAAAAGTGGGGACCGTTCTAAGTTATCCATGTATGAAAATCCTTTTTTTGTTGTTGATGTTGTTGTATTTTTTTGTTGTTGTTGTATTAAATTATTCACCTCCCCAAGACCCGAGGGGACCATTACAGTCGAGGAGGCTACACATTTTTTTTTTGTTGTTGTTGTATTAAATTATTCACCTCCCCAAGACCCGAGGGGGCCACTACAGTCGAGGAGGCTACTCATTTTTTTTTTGTTGTAAATCATGGTACAACCCTCTCTCAACTCTTTAACTCCAAAACACGAACCTTGACAAGAAAGGCCGCTGCGCGGAGAAATTAAGTTGAGCGCTGTATTTCCAGGGACATGGTGGGGGGTGTCGAACTCCGAACCTCTCGCTTACAAAGCGAGCGCTCTTACCACTACACCACTACCGCATATACTTGCAGATCAAAATCCTTTTAAAAAGAT